TTGATTTCTAAGAATGCCATTCCGTATCCGCCAAAGTTAAATATGTCAATAGCCGTAAAAGTGCTCGATGAACCATTTAAAGTGAACATTTGATTAAGTGCAACTATAGCTCCCGTGGAGAGAAAGCGTATTTTATAAAACGTTTTTATTGTTTGATTAGATAAAATAGCGACAGTTGGCGTGATAGTAGGTATAATCGTTGTAGTGACTGCAGTTGCGATTATATCTGCATTAATGAGTGTAGTTGTTGTTGCGCTAGCATTAGTAGAATTAATAGTCGCGGTCGTAATTTTTTCGACTACACTTAGAATGCATACATAACCAACAAAAATGTGATCAATAGAACATGTTAGGAAGTCCAATGCTAGATTTGTTGATGGAATTTTAAATAGAGTAATTGGCTCGTTTGCTTTTGTTTGGTTATAATCTATGAATATAGAGTATACTCCTATATATTCAATCAGATCAGTATTATCGATTCGATTGTATGAAATTACATATCCATTATTTAGTGTTGGTAACACTACAACAACTTGAACTTGTTATTTTTAGCTCCTATTTCGATCGTATCACTTTGTAATAAAGTGATTTTACCATTATTATCACTAAAAAAACGAAGTATAAAGTTGAGTGCAAGCGCGTATATATGACGTTTATGCGGATGAAACATACACTGTATATTGTTCCAAAGCTAAATAATTCGTTTTTGGCATTGGAGAATAACACAAAAACCCTTTTCTTGGATCGATGTTGACTATAATGTTATATCTTGCATTCCAGGAATTATCTGGTTTCAGGTAAGATGAAGATATTCCAAAGCTAAGATTACTAACATGTAAATAATTCATTGCAATTAATTATCATTTTTATTATTTTTAAACATTTTGAAATTTTAATTATACTTTTAACAAACCTTTTAATTTCTCCACTCCAATTGATAACCATTCCCCAATCCTCATATGTTGTATTATCAGACATATTACTTGCACGAGTGTATGTTACCAGAATGTATTGAAATAATGGGTGTACACACGTATAGGATTAATATAACGAGAAATGCAATAATTGAAATCTTGTATTCCTTTGTCGTTCAAATCTATTTTAATAACATCTCCATTGGGTTGAATGACGCGAAGTAATAGCCTTTGCTCGAGACACCTAGTGACTCCATTATAGTAATTAATTCGAGCAATGCGAATAACAGCAGTGTTATCTTTATAGTATCCAATAAACCAAACATTAGGATTTCCGGTGAGATTATCTTGTGTAGATTGCTCTGTATAAGTGAAATTATGAAATTTTACGTCACATTCTACAGGAAAAATGCTCAATGAAACAATAACGATAACAGCGAGTGCAAAATTGTGTTGTTGAATCTTCATTTTCGGATTTTCATCTTTGAATTTTCTCTTTACAAGAACTAAAAGAATTTAATGTGTTGAAATACGCTGTGTATACTACAATTGCATAATTAAAAGTTTGAAATACTTGGTGATACTGTAATATAAAAGGCAATTCGTGTCTTAACTTAGTTACTTATTAGATTTATAAATAATTTGTATGAAACAGTACTGTATAACAGTATATAGCTAACGTTAACAGCATACTATATTTTTCATTTATTCTTTTCGCATAATTACATTAGCAAAGAACGGCCAGCTCAACATGGCAAAGTTATTAGCCAGCCAACACAAGTCAACAATATGTTATTGAAGAGAATTTCACTAAACCAAGATATAGTAGACTTTTTTTAATCTAATAATTTTCCGAAAATTTTAATAATTACCATTGAATTCTAGATCTTCGAAAAAGATATCGATAGAATACAAGAATATCAATTCTTTATAATAGCTTAAAAGTAATTCAAGCCTTAACGTTAATATGACAATAACTTGAATTTTTTCATTTAAATTCGATGTTGCTAATTTATCGTTACACTAACACCAAGCCTAATAAACAAGTAGACAGATGTCAAGTCATATGTAGTCCAATTAGCCAATCAGGATAGGTATTATATAATCATTTTTTTTAATTATGCTTTCTTAATTTATCAACGAACTTTCAAGACTTTTATTGTATCATTGTGGTATTTCAGCAGTACGATATAACGGCATATTTGATAATTTATTGCACAAAATCATATGGCAAACAAATTAATCTTGTTAATATCATATTCACCGGTTTGATTTTTTATAATAAATACATAATAATATTTTTATTGTAATAATAACTTTTGATTTATTTGTCTATTTTAAATAATTTTATTACCCAAATATCCAACGATTCTAACGAGCCTCAAATCATCCAAATTTAATTACAGGATCGTGAGTAGTGTTCAAAGTCGATTAAATTTTTAACAGCTTGGCAGCTTAGCCAATGGGTATAATGCCGACCCAAAAATACGTGCCAATAGTATATTAAAAATTCCCTATATGCTTAACATTAAAAGTTGTATTCAACTAAGATTTCATGGCGAAAATTTAGAGGCCGAAATTAGTTGTTATAGCAAATTTTTGTGTTATTTACGTTTTGTTTCACAAGCTTCTGCAACTTATTGGATTCGAATCAAGAATTCCAGTAATCTTCAGCTTGGAATTTTCTTAATATAAAGGTACCCAATATAAATTAATATGTAGTTAGCCGGCTAATGAACTATCAGTCTGCTAAACGGCTGATTTGATCGGCTTAGAACACTAATCGTGGAAATATTCACGTGCCAAATAATGATGCACCTCCTACTATGAAACGATTGGTTGGGCATAGCATAGCAATCATTCCACGTAGGAGATGCGTCACTTTTTAACACGTGAATATCTCAAGATCCCGTGATCAGATTTGGATGATTTTGGGCTCTTTAGAATTGTCTCATTATGACGAGCATTTTGGCAATAAAATTGTTTAAAACAGATCAATATATCAAAGAGTTATTATTATAAAAACCACCGTAATAAAAGATATATATTTATTATAAAAAACCGATGAATATGTTATAAAAGAAATTTAGCGTCAGCTATATCTGTATATACTATATTATAGGGTTGAGTTAGAATATTGGAAGTACTCAGCGAAAGCACTATTTTTAATAAAATGAATTGGATTGGAAGCTTTCAATTAAATTTTTTTATCATTGGAAGCACAGTTGCAGTTGAACAGAACTGTTATATGAGTGCCACAAAGCTAAAACATGAGATTTGCCTATTTTAGCATTGCGGCTAGTGATGCCTGACGAAATGACGAAACCTGACGAAACCATAAGTTTCGTCAAGTTTCGTCATTGACGAAACTTATGGTTTCGTCAGGTTTCGTCATTTCATCAGG